ACAGACTGTATCTCTTCAAGTCCTTTCCAGTCCTGTGTTCTAACAGTTTTAATAAGGCTATTGTTAGTGATTTTAATCTCACACAAAACGCCTTTGCCACTTGAAGACACCGTTCTCAAGCTCTTCCTCAATCACTTGTTCATGCTCATTCCCTTGTTGCAGCGTGAAAGCAGATCTCTGGTCAGTCTCATGCAGGAGTAAACCAGCATCTTTGTCCAGAACAGATTAAAGGCAGCACACTGCTGTCTGTGCAGCCTCTGTTTTTTGCCTCCGCATTGCACTGCAAAGGATATGCTGATTTCCAGAAACAATACTTGCCATCGAGAAATCAGGATAGAAAGGAAGAGGTGAAACAGATTTCTCCTGTAAATTAACCGCTCTCTATTTTTATTTATTTATTTTTTCCATTAAATATGTGAGTTTGAAAGAAACCAAGTGGACAGTACATACAGAGCAGCCACTGGATAAAGGTGTGATATGAGACCATCAGAATGCGATGATCCCACTGGATGCAGGGACTTGCTAGCCAGTTGTCCTGCTTTCACTAGGATAGAGATAATTTTCTTCTTAGTAGCTAGAATACGTGTGTTTTGGTTTCAGTATGGGATTTGTTATGAAAAGAACTTTGACAACATACTAATGTTCTTAGTTGTTACTGAAAGACAAAGGACATTTCCAGCTTCCCCATGTTTTGCTAGTCTGCAGGTGCAAAGGACAGTAGTAATTAGCAAACCCAAACTGACATTCAGATATGCCAATAGGATACTCCACATCATATAATGTAATTTCAGTACATTAATGAGGGTGGGCCAGAAAGCAGGGGGATCTCTTGGGGATCATTCGGGCTCTCTCGCTCTTCCAGAATCGCGGTTTTGGTTTTGGAACTGTCTCTGCTCTGGGATCACTGGCTGGGGACAGGCTGGGCATCGGTCGGCAGGTGGTGAGCAACTGCACTGTGCATCACTCATTTGAATATTCCATTATTACTGTTGTTAGCATTATTCTTTTAATTGTTATTTTAATTATTAATTTGTTTTTATCTCAACCCATGAGTTTTCTCACTTTTACCCTCTGATTCTCTCCCCCATCCCATCATGGGAGGGTGAGCAAGTGGCTGTGTGGCGTATGGCTGCCAGCCAGGCTAAAACCACCACACTAGTGTTACATGGGAAAAGAAGAGAGAAGCACAAAGGAGGGAACTGGCAATTCAGATTATACATTTAGGTTATGTAGTTGACATAGAAAAATATTTTTTCTAAGCATTTTTAATTTTAACATTTCTTTTGTCGCAGTCCATTGTTAACTGCATTAACAAGCCAGCTGGATCGCCTACATTGAATATCATCACTGCCTTCAGGTTTTCTTCTGGTGAGAGGGAGGGAAAACATTTTATCAGAAAAGATATACTTTTCCCATGCATTGTCATATACACGCTTCTACTAAAGACAAGGTCCTTTAGCTGCTTGCTACGTCAGCAATGCCTGTCAAACACAGTGTGCCCTCTAGCAAACTCGACACAGAGAAATGGCAATCACCCTCATCGAGGCAGACGAGGCAGGAGGGAAACATCACCAGCTAGATGGCTTGGGGATGCCCCCGAGTTGAGAGACTGGGATGAGCAGGATGTCCACAGGTAGCAGCAAGGCCTTGTAAATCTTAGCTGTGCAGCTGTATGAAGATGCCTCAGAGTGTCAGCTAGAGAACAGTGCTGTAGGGGGCTGCAGGAGTAATCCCACTGAACCACCACTTCAAAGAGAGGGCTGGCTTAAAACTTAAATGTAGTATACTTACTGGAAAGTTAAATCTGAACATGTCCAGAAGTCTTAGGAAAAAAGGGAGGAAAGCCTGAGTAACACCTCAGCTGTTGAATAGTTTGTTGGAGCAGAAGAACTGGAGCAGGTGTTTACACCTGGCAAATTGTGCTGGTTTTTTATATTAGAAGCTTTAATTTTATGTTGTGAGGGAGGAGGCACTGAGAAATTACTTACCAACAATGCCCAACCATGCCCATCTGTATTATAAAAGCAGTGCAAGGGTTTGACAGCCTGTTCAGAGGCTGAATGGTAGATGGTTCAAGTGGCGTGCACAAAGACCCAGCCAAGGAGCCTGCTGTCCACCATGGCTAACACGTCCACCTCACTTGAGCAACACTCCTTGAGCACTGCGTTCATACTAAACTCTAAGCAGCCAGAGCAGCTGTGAAGTGCAGGCTTACAGTAATACTAGAGACATCATTAAGTGAGTAATTAAGAAGCTGAATCTCTCCCCTCCCTATCACTTCACCTACTTTTAACAGAATAGCTCATCAACCACCTTCCCTGTCGGGAATGTCTGCTTTATCATGAAATCCATCACATGTATTTTACAGGTAAAAATATTGCTGAAAATATTGTCTTGCTACATCTGTGCAATAAGCTGAAAGGAACCGAAAAGTGACAGATCTATTAAGAGCACTAAAAGTTAGAATAAAGACAAAAAGACACTTTTCTGCCATTTGCCCATGATGTGTGGCTCTGTATCATGTGCTGAAAGCCTTGACAATCCAAGCCTTGAAATTCTAGAACAGAAAGCCCTTCCTCCTCCCCATGGATTATTCTGGTTTATTCCCAAATACTTTTTAAATAACTGGTTTAGCGTAAGATCTTACACACGTTAGCAAAGTTCTGCCAATCCTTCTATCAATTAACTGCTGTGGATGATCTTCCTGTTTTTGTAGTAATATTAGGATTTAGTCCATAGATTTGTCAATTATAAACCTCAGTATTTGCCTTCAGAGCACAGCCTAAGCCCCAAACCCCAAAGGCTACATGTTTCAAGCCACATAAGCATAGAAGAAGGGGGGTAAAATCTAATGAAAACATTTCTTCTTATTTTTTTCCTTTGCGATATAGGCTACACATTCATTTTAATGTCCAAAATTCACCTGTAAGCAATCAAAACCATAGTTGAAACACAAGAACAAAGGATGTACCTAGTGAGTCATCAAAGTGCTTTATTTTATAAAGCCTTGCTCATGTCTGGAGTGTAATCTAAGCACTAACATATACAATAATGAGTCTTCCTTGCCCTGTCCAAATAAACAATTTATCGACAAGAACAAGTGACAAAACTGCTACACAGACAAAAAGAATGTTTTGCTGTAAATGTCTAAAATTGTCTAAAAATGTACACTTGTTGGCCGCAATTAAATATGTACTCCAAGTACATGTACCTCATTTTTACTTCAGGGTCTCCTTGCGGCCTCATACTTTAGGAAGCCACAGCATTAAGAAGCCACAGCATGCTTCAGCGAATGAAACCTGGGTGAGAACGCAGACAACTGGGGCATAAAGAGAGAGGAAAAAAAAAATCAAGCCACAGTACCAACTTATTTAAATACATACAATACAAAAGTATACACATACATTACAGTGCTGTGGACATCACTAAGTCAAATGGAACAAAAAAACCTGTAGGAAAAGTCGGGGAAAGGAGAAAAAAAATTAGTACACAGTAACTGGGATAGTATTGCCTTTGGCTGCTGCAGAGTGTAATGGGTTGCTATTGTATAGGCTCCGCTGAAGTAAACCACTACATACGTTACGCACAGTTGCAGGCTTAACAGCGCTGACGTTAGTGACAGAGAAGGCATGCTGGCACTCCTGATCTGAGTTATCAACGATGATGGAGAGGGTCTGACTGACTTCTCTTACGTTGCCTACAAAATCTAACAATTTCAATAAAGAAATTTTAAAGGCACAGCTTTAGCACAGTGTATAAGTAGATAAATTTTTAAGCATATGTAAATTTATCTCTTTCAAGCATGGAGTCTTTCAGGGAAAAATACAAGAAAGGAAGAAATACAATGTCATTGTTTAAAAATTTTAAACAAGTTAAACATGATCAGCACAGTTTTAGGCAATGTACTATACAATCAAACTTGAATAAATGGTAGGACAGGTCAGTTTGATGCTAAAAGATGACCTTGGGAAAAATCCCTCTGAAATATCCTTTCTCATTTTATTGTAAAAGAGTCCATCATGGAGGTGAGCGAGACATTGACTTTAGTACTACTGCACATTACACCTTGGAAGATGACAAACATTACTTCATTTGTACTGCAAAATAACTTTACATGTAAACTCAAAAGTCATATATTGTACATGGCTCTGAAATTCAGAAATATCCCTGCTTTCCTAATAATGTAAACAGTAAAATTCAGGGTTCATTTTTTGAGGGATAATCCATAATAAAATACGCTGTTTCAACAGTACAACATAAGCATTTAAACTTCAAATTCCCAGTAAATTACAAGGGAATGGAATTTCTATCAGGGTACACATCTTTCATGACGGGTGAAAGATGAAGCTACTATTGCCCAAAACTATGCGCTTCTTCAGTTAAGCTTTTTTCCCACTTGTAACACTATTAGTTCCTATATCGCAAGAATATAAAACAAATGAAAACTTCAGGTAACAAAGTGAAATAAGCAAAGTTTTCCCTTAACATAAGTTTACTGTAGCAAAAATGTACACATAGCATGAATTACGTTAGCTCTTGTAAGATAAGAGACGCCGGCTCTCAGACATCTGAGGTTGAACTTCCTGGTGCAATGTGCTGAAAAGAAGACAAAAACGGAGAGGGAGGAAAAAACCCAACTGTGAGGAAACAAATGGGAAAAGCCTCTGGCACCAAGGGCTGTTACAGCTGGTTTTTTAAGGAGTGCCAGTGTGCAGGGTGTAAGTGTAACATTCGCAGTAAGGTTTTTATTATTATTGTTGTCATCATCATCATGAAGAATACTGTCATGTATCTTTTTAGTTCAAAAAATAAACTGATCCACAGTTTACAATTTGATATCAATATTGTAGATTTAACATGCATTTGCTCTTTGCCACCCCCACCCCACACCCTTTGCTCATTTATTCTGTTTCAGCTGGTACCATCAGAGCATTACTGTCACAGTGCACTCTGAGTAAGCTGTTCTATTTATTTAATTTATTTTAATTCCCCCCCCACCCCACACACAAAAGAGTCAGAAATAGCTAGAACTATGCTGGGAATATCAGGCAGCTGTTAAAGCGAGTACTCCACCCCACTTCAGTCATCTTTGCCAGCAGATGTAAACAAAGGGGTTGCTTTCTGCAAGATGAGCACTTCTCTGAGTTCCTTTTTTTCCCTACGCTTGTAGCCACTGCTGCTGTCCCCAGGTCTCGTGTCTGTCCTATGTAACATGAAAGGTTACGTCAAGATGTTGGCAATAAAGTCCAAGAAGCGCTTTGAATACTGTTCAGGATTAACAGTTGAAATTTCTGCACCAGCCTGCATAGAGAATTGGGAGGGGAGAGGAAAGAAGGAAGAAGAACCAGTGTTTTATTTGATGCTTTGTCGCTGAGAGTGTTACTTACTCAATGAATTTAAGTTGCAGTCTCAGAACCAGACACTAGAAACACAAATTGTAATGGCCCTCAACCAGAATCTTAATGATGCCTTTTTAAGCTTTGCGTGAGTACAGTGATACTCGGTACTCACCACTGTAACTACAGGACATCCATCTTCCATTTCTGAACTGCATTCTCTTTACTTTCGTTACTTCTCTTTACTTTCATTGTACTTCAGTCTTCCATCTAATTTCTACTGCACACGTAACCATGCTGCCCACTGATTTATCAGCAGATTCTAGTCTGTTGAGCAGCAGAGTCTTCATTAGGGAAGACTAAGTTATCATACTTGGATCTGGTGTGTCAATACTTGTGTACTGGAATATATGGTAACAATGAGTAACATTTTTTCAACGTATATACATTTAAATCTGGACTAACTGAATATGCTGTACAATTGCTATTTCAATAAAGGCACGATTGCATTCATATTTTTATTTGAGGTTTTCAGAGCCTTAGGCCACATTTCTATTTATATTTTTCCTTTTTTACAAAAGGGGAATATTGCATGCATGCAGTTAATGAACAAACTTCAGTGTCAGGTGGCTCAGGATGGAGACAGTGAAATAAACAAAATGGGTGTACAAAAGTTCTGTAGTAAGTTCTAATCACAGTCAGCTTTAATAATCATAGTTGTTACTTACAATATGTTTCTATCCCTTATTTAAGCCATAAATGTGAGTTTTTAAAGGCTGCTACATTCAGAGTTCACTAATAATTGCCAGATAATGGCTGCATATGGTCTGCATCAACTTTCAGCTGTTCTGAGAGCAGAGAGAGCAATGGGAGCATTGCTTTAGAGAGACCAAAATACCTTCTACAGGCCTGTGCAGGGCCATTTCTGAGCATTCCACATCACTCTCCAAACGCTAAACTAAAAAGCTCTGAACCCTTTGCATAAAGCCCCCCACAATGCCCTGATCCTTTAGATACTCTGACAGAGGAGGGATTTCAGCCTCATGAATGATTATGCTCTTTTCAAAAAGTTTATGAAATCTGAACCCTGAATCACCACAGGAGTGATAACAGTAGGTATAAATCGGAACTCTGGAAGACTGGGCTGCTTCACCATGGTCCTTTGGTGTCTGCTGCTAAGCAGCAATTTCAGTCAAAATAAAGAAATTCATGTCAGTCAAAGAGAAGCCTTCACTTAATGGTCTTCAAGTATTTAATATGCACATTTTATGCTTAATTTTTCAAATAATATTTTTTAAGAAGTCTTCTAAAGTGAGCCACGTTATATGCTGAAGAATTAACTTTCAATAGGCTGTACCAAATAATGAAACCATCACTAGGGCCCCGCATCTGAAATAAGACTCACAACAACTTTCTAAGAGCTGTGTACTAATACAGGTGTCTGGTGGAGAGCTTTGTTTGCCAGAAAGATCCATCTCACCAAGTTAGAATCAAGTCCTAAAAAACCATCTCACTCCAATTCATTATGGGTAAGAAAGCTACGCATACAGCTGAAACGGGAGTTCCACTCTCAGTATATAATATGCAGCAGTTACTCTATACTTTTATATAACATATTAAACTAGAAAAAAACTTGAAAAAACTCTGTTCTATTTCCCCTTTCCCTAGATTTCCTGAACTGTGCTATATCAGTGCACTAAACAACAAAAAATGCAGAAACATAAATGGAATCAGAGGAAAAAACCAACCCAGATACTTACCCCATGCTTTACTGTTTTTGCAGCATGGGCAGCTTTCTTTTTTGCATCATAATGAGTAAGAATGTCAATAATGGCCATAAAGTATATTTCCTTCCTAGGTGCATCTGCAAATGGCAAAGACATGGCAGTAAGAATGACTTTGAGACATCTTAATCATGAGTCCTCCTTCTAACAAAGGAGACTTCATGAGGCTCAATCAGCAGCTGAGACAGGTTCATGTCAGTCAGAATCACAGATCTGTACAGACCACAGGCTCAGCCGTTCTTAATTGAGAGTTTAACTGCATTCATATATAATGCAAAACCCCCTAAGAGAGTCTAAAATAAAACACCAGCATACAGAAATAGGAATTATTGCTCACTTAAAGTAACGTGGATTTCATGGTCCTTTATGAAAAAACGATGAAATTCTATATGAAAGGCAATGCGTCTGTGTCAACAAACAAGATTGTATTTTCTTTATGAATAAAAACATGTATTTATCCATGTAAATGCTTATGAAAAAAGAGAGATCTTTCCTGTCTTGAACAGCCACAGGTAACTAATTACACTTAGTTTTACTAAAATCAAACTCAGTTTTGGGATTCTTACACTATTTATAATTACTTTATTAGCTGGGGCACAGAAATTGGATATGAGTGCACAAATGTTCAAAAAAGTGAAACATAACTTGGAATGCTGCTTTTCTCATTCTTTCTAGACTGTTTTAAACAGTGTTATCTTATCTGCCAGGAAAAGAACAATTATAGATACTAGATTTCCTGAAAAGGAATTAACTGAGAACTGCTGTATCTGAATAGCTGAGCCAGAATGGAGTTGATTGTGCAGTAGGTGAATTATTTGACTGCATCCTCAGCTGTCACAATAAATATCTAAGAAATATGTTCAGTATCAATACTGAGCATTACACATCTCCTGCTTTCTGCTGCACCAAAAAGCAACTAACTTCCTTTTCTACAGAGTGAATTTTTATTTTGCAATTTAACTTTGCCTTTATGTAGTTACAAAGACTTCAGGATTCTGGTGTAAGAATCAAAACACCTTAACATATTTATTACTGCTTACTTTCATGGGATTTTATTCCATAAACATCAATAGCTGGATCAAATTCCCCTGGAGCCAAGGGCAGCGAGCTGTTCAGTGTGTTTCCTGGACTGTCTGGAGGGGTTCCAATTGGGTGGGTCCCATCACTTTCACCTTCCTCTTCTCCATCATTCTCTTCACACTCTACTTCTTCCTGTTCAGCTCTTTCAACATCATGGATTCCAACCAACAAGCTGTAGTCCATGAGTTTTAACTGAGCAAGGAACTAGAAAGTGATAATAAGCAATTTATCAATATCACTGGAAAATGTAAGCTCCACTTACAAACAGGAGAAGTTACACAAAGATGTCATCAGTTGAGAAAAACAGGCACTTCTAAGAGGGAGCAAAAGGGAGGGGTTAAGCAAAAAAGCTAGCAGAGAGATACTTGAATTTATTAAGATGCAGTAACAGTGTGCAGGTCACTTGCAACTTTATCCTGTCACTGCTTAACATACAAACCAGCCTCTGTCCTATCAGGTGTGCTATGATCTGGTCTAAATCTCTTCCCATCTCTCCCATTTGAACCTTCTTAAATAATGATTAAAAAGTGTTTAAATATTCTTGCAGTAGAAATTAGTGAAGTTTTACATCACAAAGCCATGAAATGATGCTATGTTCTCTTCACAGTGGCAGGCTCACAATTTAAATAATGTAAGCAAAAGGTGAATGTGAATAGAAGGGTGGTTTTGAATGAAGACTGAGGACAGGAATTTGAAGAAGATTGAAAAATGAATGCACTTGATGTACAAAGTGTTATTTCAGTTGAGGGGAACAGGATAAGGCAGAGAGCTGAGAGGAGGATGGAAATAAGGAAGGTATAAAAGCAGGAAGATGGGATCAACAGTTCAAGGGGTGAGGGGGAGGCAGGGCAGAGCTGTGCTGCAGCTTGAAAGCAATACTGCGATTGTGAACTTCTGGAGCCCTTGCTTAAGGTATGCATAGAAAGATGCTGAAAATACAAATTGTTCCAGTTTTTAGACACTCTAAATGGTTATAGAAAGGAAGTTACATTAGACCAGAGAAGAAGGGATTTAAGCCAGACTTTGGAACAGTGGTAGTAATCAAGGAGATGAATATGAAATATTAGGAAATGAGAAACTACAGTTTGTCAAAATCCTGATACTGAAAAAAGAGAGGGATCGGAGATAACAAAGTGACTGTAAATTCAAGTGGTAGAAGTAGTATGTGAGACTGAGCAGAGGTTTTAAGAAGAAAGAAGAAATTGGTTCCTAATCATTTCAGTATAATAAAGCAAAAGACTCTTCACAAGACTAGAAGAGATCTACATTTGAAGAGATGTACAACGATACACAAAAAGAACAGATAAGACCAGCCAAAGGCGATGGAGTGGAAGGACTCCAGGCATATCATTAGGTACTTGCTAAATACCAAGAAAGGCAGGAGAAAAAAAAATCTACCAATAATCATACCAAAAAAGCATGAAAGAGGACAGACTCCTGGGGGAAAAAAAAAATGAACTGCAAATTAGATGAGAATGGCTGTTGGGAAAAAAAAGTGTGCTGCTGCTGCTGCTGACAGCAAAAAGACTTAGGGAGATCAGCACAAGGAAAATATAATCTGATTTAAAATGTAAAAAATATCCTTATGTGCTTTTTTTCAGGACATTTTCAATGGAATGAGGCAACAGGAAAATAGACAAGAGGACATCAAACCAGCAGTAATAGATATTTGTCTGTCTGAACACCAGAAGGGGACACAAGACTCGATTATGAGAGAAATATAGTAACACAAATGACTTAATGACAAACAAGAATGGATAAAAAGTCACACAGTTTAGAATACTACTCCATAAGTGTAACTATAAATATTGTGTGATAAGATAATAATATATCAAGTGCTGTGCATTTCCTTGAATTGTAGTGAAATCCGAGTGTTTACACATTGGGTACAAACTGCATACTATCAGTTATCTAACAAGGGGAGAAGATCCAATAAAAGAAAAACAGGGTTAGAGAACAGCTTGCCATTGTTAAAATCAGGTCTCTGATCACTCCACACTAGTGGTTTACATGGATATTTGACAATGCTCTATAAATTTCAACACCACAAAAACCCACTATCAAGACATGATCTGGAATCTGCCGTGATGTTTAAAATCTAGTAAATGATATAGAAGATTACATACAATCCACTTCCTGGGCTAATAAAGTATCTTCCACGTTCACTGCACATAGTTAAGATCTTGTGTGCAACCTACTGATGTAAAAGCATTAGGCAGCAACAGCAGCACATGTTAGAAGAGCACAAAACTTAAACCCAAATAACCTTCTCTCTCCAGCTGTGACATCAGTAGAGCAGTTTTCCAGCACAATATTTTAAATATAAAGTAAACATTGATATTTTACTAAATATTTATGTTTTCATAATTATCATCACCATAAATTTCTCATTATTATTATTATTATTATTATTATGGGAAACTGGATTTCCTCAAAAGTAAATTATTTGGTAAATTCTAAAGTTACAGTATTTTGTTTTGTGCAACTACTGAGACACAGATCCGAAGAACTAGACAAGTCAATTCACAGAGCCATTTTGACATAAATAGCTGAAAGTCTTAAGTCACAGACACATTTTGCTATCAGGTCTCTTCCAACAAGGCAAATGGATTTTAGGGTCTGAGTACAGGGATTGCAAAATATTGTGTTTAGTGACAATATTTTAAATTATGGAAACTGAAGTAGAGCTGTGTCAACTAGTTAACCCAGTATTTATTTTATTTGCTGAACTAAATCAGTTATAATAACATATTACATTAAATTTACATATGAAGAGTTTTCTACTAAGTACTGACTATATTCAGCCAACTACAAATTCATATGAGAAGACTGTATTAAGATAATGAGTCCAACTGCTGTATGCAAATTACTGAAGCACTTTACTGTTGCGATACTAAGGATGATTTAAAACTGGGTTACTAATATGAAACAAATAGAACATTCACTGTTGTGGACTACAGTCTGTGTACAGCCTCAGCTCCGGTGTACCTCCACCTGTAAAATACAACTAACAACACTCACCTCTCTCTCAGGGGCATTTGGAAGTACTAGGCTTGTAAAGCGCTTAAGTACTAAGCGATACCATCATTTTAACATCACATCGTCAAGGCAGGGACAATGTATGGCAACCAGCTATGGCAGCAAGCCATTTATCACATCAGCAAAAGCAGTGATCAACTCCTGAAAGTTTAAATTGTTTCATTTAAAACAGTCTTATAAACAAGAGTTTTCATTAATGAATTACAGGTATGATTTTCCGGGCTATCTGTTATTTGCCACACATTTTAATCACATATAACTGAGCAGGCACATCCTTACCTCAACATCCTTTTTGAGTTTCTCAAGGAACATCTTTTTGTTATTCTCATCAATATGAATCTTTTGGCCATCGTTAATAAAATCATTGTCTTTGAACGTCGGCAGCTCTTTGGCCTAAAATAAACCAAAACTCCTGTAAGAGCAGGATTGCAAAGAGGAGTGTGGTGAAGGTGCTGGCCTGGCGCGGCCCCTCTGCCACCAGCGGTGCCTCCAGAGCTCCCCTGCACCCGAAGCAGGCACAGCTGCACCGGAGGAAGCAGAGGCACCTCCATGGCATGCAGCTCTTCATAACTGCACCCACAGAGCCACTTCCTCAGTTTATCCCTCCTGTAAATGGCCTGGAAGGTACAGGTTTACTGGGTGTGCAGCAAATGTAGCTAAGACAAAACTCCAACTCAATACTTGATTTGCATTGAACCTTGATCTGCATCGGCCTTCTTCCAAGATGTCATTTGTCAAAGTGACTGGCAATAAGTGAAGTCGAAACACAATCTACACCTCATATCAAAGTGCTTGGATCGGATCTTATTGATGGTAAGTCAGGCTGGACTGCATTTTACATAGCTACTGTGAATGTTTATGAGCACCTCATACCAAATAATTATTTAAAAAGCATCAAGCTAACGTGAATTATGTAATGCTGCTTAGAAGTGGTACCACTGCCTTTTAAATAAGTAGTAAAACATTCTTGATGTTGGAGCATTAGTTGATTATCTTCATCTTTTTGAACTCTCCCATGAAGTGACTTGCAACAGCATTAAGGAAAGTCAGAAACTTTCAGATGACCACTGCAGTAACCACCGGACCACCAGTAACAACTGGTTTCAGTACTAAGACCCCGCAAACAGGCTGTTTTAAGAGGGCAGTGACTGGAAGTCTACTTAAAACAAACCAGCAAGCCAACAAAACCAAGAAAAAAAGCAGTTCCTTCAGGTATTTGGTCAAGCAAACTAGAACTAATAGTAGCTTCTGCAATCAGAGCCTTTAAAAAATTGGCCCATTAAGAGCCTTTCTCCCTGCCCCCTCCCCTGTCTTGTAACAAATAGTAGGGAACAAGAGGTTTTCTTTAGAAAGAAAATGTTGCAGAAAATCGAGTGCTGCCACCCTCAATGACCATGAACTAATGGGTACTTTGAATAAAATAATTTCCTCTTAATCTGAAAATCTTTCCACTAGTAATAAAAGGCAGCTAACATCAGCCTACTGGGATGTCCTCCATTAGTTTAATTAGTCAGACACCGCTTATAACCTTACTGGACATAGTATTTTTCATAAAGTTTATTTTCTTCCTACGACACAAGGAAGGAAAAGAATCTCAGAGGTTCTTTTCTCTGCTCCAAAACTTACATGTTAGAAAGCACAGCATGAAAATGTGAACATGATAGCAGACCTTGGAATCCCCTTACAGATCTTCAGAATGGCCAAAGTTCTTTCTTCTGTTAAGTTGTGCACAGAAGTGGCTGAAAATAGTCAGTTCCTCAAGTGCCCAAATTTATTTTTTGGACCTGGATTTTATGAATTGCTCAAGATCCCACAATGCTGCTTTTGCTGGGAAAAGTGACTCTTCTCTTCCAATAACTGCTCAAAAACACTTAAGCAATTACTAGTATTTTAATAGTTATGAATCCAAGTTAAATCCATTGCATCCTGATACCTATGAAATCTGGAAAAAATAAGGCCCAAGTCTGGCTGCTCTGAATTATTATTATCATTATTATTAATAATTAATACATTCTGATGTATTAAAACATCCTCTAGCTTTGCTCCAGAGACTCTCTATGTTAGTTTAAAATGAAAGGAAAAAACCCCACACAGCTGAGATGGAGCTATAACCCTTCATCCATCCCAGGCTCCTTCCATGGAGCAGTGCTCCTGCAGTGCTCTGCTGCTTTACTTAAAGATGAATTTAGACACTTCTTGAAGCTCACAATGAATTGTTTACTACAATGCAACAGCACAGTGTGCATTGATTTTCTTTCTGGCCTACTCAGTAATTGGTTTAGGATGAAAATTAGTAGAGAAACACCAGATAAGCATTCCAGCCTAGCAGCTGTAGAGATTATCATACACTATCGAGCAAACTGTCCCACGGACGAGGGCTAATTCTGCAGAGGCGGGACTGCGGATCCAGAGATGTTGCCAACACCAGAGGATGGAATCCAGTGCGTGGGATGCTTAAGAATGGAGAGGAGATTTGGATGAATTAATTTAAGATGAAACAATAATGCAAAGAACGCAGGAAACCAAGCTCCCTTCATTTCTAGCGCAGAGTCACAAAAAAAATTTCCTCATATTATCTTTTTACACCTCGTATATCCAAGTTATTTATTCAACTACACAGAAGTTAAACAAGCCCATTAACCCTGACCCCTGACCCCCTCCCCCCTTTAATTAATGCTGTTTAAAGCTGAGGGGTGGATAAAGAGGAATGTGCTTGTGGTTAAGACACTGAGATGCAGGTTCCTCTCTAAGCTGTGCCACAGACTTCCTGCACAGCACGGCATCAGACAGACAGACCCGTTGGGCACTGGGAGGGGGAAGCATGCTTCTCTGCTGAAGACACTCCTATCTTCAGTAAAAATAAACTTACATTACAAGCAATGGCATTTTGGGAGACGTAGAGCTGGTAAGCCAGTCGTGCAGGTGCCACACTCCACTTTAACCTTGTCTCTAATCTATTTTTAATAAAAGCGAGCTAGCAAAGCTGGCACAGCCACATTTCTTGCCTGCCATCACAAGACCCAAGGGGTACTCCCAAGGACATTCAGGGCAGTGAATCAGCTCTCCCAAAAAAGCCAGACTCTTCACTGCCTTGTCTGCAGGCTTCCCCAGTCCTCAATAATCCCTCTGAGGATTTTCATCTGAGGTCATTTTCCTTCACCCAAACGCCCACAGCTGTGAAGACCTGGCAACTACAGAACTCATAAATTAAAAGCCAATATGGAGGCGTCTGAAAAAAAAGGCAGAGAAAAGCAGTGAGTCCCATATAAGAAACTGAAGCTAAAAAGTTGTGTGCTGGTGGTTGTCCTCGCCACATTATTTGTATGATGCCTCCCAGCCTATTCTTTTCCATCTCTCTAGGTGTTATTAGACAAAGCCTTTTTTTGGTGTGCTAGGCAATATCATTCTCCCTATTTATTTAAAGCTGAACAGCCTTAGGCTACTGTTGCAGTCCCAAATAGTACAAATGACAGCCAGCACCAGTAGTGATTCTAGTAGTACTTTAACTGAAATTCATGTCTTAAAATTGATTTGCGAATTTAGGAATTAAAATATATGAAATATGCGAATAGGAGGGGCTCACATAGCTATTAAAAATTCATAATATATGTGTTGAAAAATTCTAAGATATACATTTTCTACTTATGCACCAAAATAAATAAATACAAAGAAAACCACATTGTAGCCATTTAAAACGCTATCTGAATGAAAAAATTGAGACTTTGCCTTAATGAAATAATTGATATGGTTAATTTTTAAAGAAGTCTCAAATATTTCCAATGAAGCAAAATCCTTGTTGGAAAAAGATTCTCCCAGAATGTAATTTGTTATAATGAACATATTACTATCGTTAAAGAACTAAGTATTTTAAGAGCTGCACAGGAGATGAACATCTAACTACTTCCACTAAATTAATAATAATAATAGATTTTCTTTCGGAACCATCTCCATCGTTTTAATTCCCTACTTAAAGACGCAAGAAAGGCACAATAGATTTTACAAATATAAATTATTTATTTATTAAAAAAGCATGTTATTGGCAAACTGCACGTTTGCATTCCAAAGTTTGCCATGGTCACAGAGAATTTTAATGGCAGGAGGATTTCACTGCCTTTGAAAAGGCTGAAAAGCAATACAGCTTTGTTTGACTAAGATGACAGATTGATCAAGCCTCATTCAAAAACTAAAATTATGGTGAAACAGCCCATGAAAAAAAAATAATCTTGAAAGGTACGAACTAGGTGAAATTTTATTTCTATATGAAAATGGAAATAGTTTTTGCAGATTTCTTAATGCATCTCAATTCAGCATCCTACCCTAATGTGTTGAAATAAAGATTAGTAGGTTTTTTTTTCCAAAGGGATTTTTGTGCATCACAACCAAAAATAATGATCATGGCTAACATTAATGCTGACATTTTGGAAGAAGCTTGCTAAAACAGCTGTAGGACAGTCAAGTTTCAGAATTATTCTTGGACTGCAAAAGGAAAAAGACTAATTGTCTTCACAACCTGGCAGCATTTTCTGATTTAACAAAGGCAAAGATTAGGTTGTAGGAGAAATGTTGCACAGCAGTCTTACTGTTTGTTTGTAACTAGCCATAAGTCATGGTATTCACACAGCTCATCATGGCAATATTTGGCTTATAGTTTATAACTTTTGAAAATGGTATAAAACATATGCCAAGAGTGAAGTTCCACACCCTGGGCTTCTTCTCACAGCTCACATACACCTTTAAAAAAAAATTAACTAAGATTAACTTTAGACTGATGGGGCTCACCAGCATATATGGAAGGAAGTATTTTTTTAAAAAAATAATATTATGCTAGATGTAGCTAGCAATAGTTTGGCACAGGTGGCTTTGAACTGAATAAAAAATCTGGAGTCACTAGAATCTACAAGATGGAAGAATAGCCAGAGCTTTCTTTGGAAGCTGAAGATTGCAGCTTCTTCCCTCCAGCAGTTATGGGAGCTGAGTCCAAACTTTTGTTGTACAATTTGCCTTGTCCTGGACAGGGCTTTCTAAGCAAACGAAGGTCTACAGCTCTACTTGCCATCACAGGACTGTAAATGGCAGTGGAAATAGAGCTGGAGCCCCAAAATGGGGTTTGAGAGAGAACACTGGAATGGTTTTAGCCAGGATACCAGGCATTTTTTTAGGACAAAAAAAAATAGTGCAGGATGTTGTAGATGGATTAGGAATTTGAGCATGTACCAAAAATAGTAACTGTACATCTTTTCAATGCTCAGGGAAATGCATCCAGAATTATCCCTAGGGTTAACGTCTTCCTGCTGCAAAATGAACATGCAACATATAAAATGCAAGACCAAGTTCCCCCTTTAAAAAAAAAATAAAAAAATCTTTCACATATGGAAAACAGACTTTTAAACAAAAAAACCCCAAACAAACAAAGGCAATCTAGTGATTTATTTTGAAAAACAGTAATGGGGTTGATGCCATGTGAAAGCTAAATACTGAAATAGGAATTTGAACTCTGAATGTCTATTCCTATCCTTGCAATGTATTGCAGCATGATGTTCTGAAAGTTATAATCTCTGTATATGCAACCTGGAGATTCATATTTCACAGAGAAATGTAAGACATTATTCACATGTCTGTTGTGTAAGATCAGCATATGAAGCAGACTGAATTCACTAAAAGAAATAAGTAAAAAAAAATGCTGTTCTGAAATTAGTAATTTTAAAATATCAGGAAAAAAAAGCTCAGATTTTGGGATGATCTACCTTGAATGAAATTTCACTTTGTGACATCAAAAGAATAACAGTAATTCAAGACTGAGTAATCTTGTTGCTATGCTCCTGTGCTAAAATACTTCTTCCTTTAGTTATCAGTGCCCTCTGAGAAATCAGGTAATTACTGTATGTTGTAATATATAATGTAAAAAGTAAAATTAAGAAGTAGTTTGTTACATCTAGCAGCATCTTCCAATTTAATTATCAGCATACCATTATTTTGCATACAATTTAACTAAGATGTTACATAGCTGTCAACTATGGCAATTTTTTTCCAAAAAGGAACTTGAATAGAAAATCCTTTGTTCAAATGTATCTAATTTTTCTGCATTTAAGCTTATTTATGAAACAACATATACCACAGAGGTGGTAATGCAACCATTTAGATGAATTAAAAAACACAATAATCTATGAAATTACTCAAGATGAAATACGGTAGGCTTCAGTTCAGTTAGGTTTTATTTTTCTTCCTCAAATTGCCTTGTGAGTTGCTCACTCACAGGCAACATGCCGAAGTTCTTTATAAGTACAAGCAGACTCAGCTGTAAATGCTAATTTGATGTCATTCTGCAAGCGGAGCTTAATTGTGAGCAGGCAGACCACCGAGGGAGTTCTGCATTATCCTGGTTTCACTTAAGAGGGCAAAATTGTCCAAGGAATGAATAGAAATTGGCCACTATTAAAATAATAAAAATTAAAAAATAGAGAGAACTAAAGCCTAAAAAAAAAGAGCAGCTGTCAGAATTTTACAACTGTTGAAACATACAGTTCTTTTAAAATTTAAGACATCTTTAAGTGCATGTTTTGATACTTGTTGCCAAGAAAATGATGCCTTTATTATTAAAAATATAACTTATAATGCAAATGACAGGAATTGTGTGTTAAGGTGAAATCTAAAGGATGGAGCTTGTCTCTGCAATGACTGTCTCCACAGTATCACAAAATATTGAAATGACAGTTTCAGAGCTTATCATCAATATATTAGTATATTAAACAGTTGAAGATAGTGAAACAGAAGATAAACTGAAAACAGGACAGAAAAGTAACATTTTCAAAGTAATTCCAGCCAGGTTTTCTTCCTAAAAACTGATTTAAACAATGTTTGAATACTAACACCTATTTTACACTACAAAACTAAAGTAGAAAAAGACTTGGTTTTGTTTTTCCCCCGATTTCTTATTTTGTGGTCTATTAAATCTTTCTGCATGATTGAGTGCCTCTTATCTATTAACCGAGTAAATATCAAAAGAGTAGCTTGATAGGAAAGAGATTCAGGAACATCATAATTTTAGCCAAGTTTGCCATTTCAAAGTAATTTATGTAAAATTTGCAGTCTCCACTAGAACGTGACTGAAAGACTTGCTCTTCTGTTTTCTAGCTTCTGCAGCTTTAAAAGAAGCTCTCATATTATTCTCAATATTCTGAAAACCATTTGATTACTTGAATATTGGCTTTTGAAATTAAATATGAATTACTTACAAGCCCAATTAAAATTACAGCATCGCCAGACAATTTAGTCCTGTATTTTAGCACCAAAAGCTTCCTGTCTTTTATTACTTTTCTGTTTTTCGGATGTGAATAGTAGTGGATAACTTTATAGTAAGTAATTAAATAACGCTGCCATTAATTGGAATTCTATTTTTATTAATGTCACTTCAGGGTGATACTAATCAATTGATGATTTAACTTGCCTCTGGCTAAAAATTAGCTAGTAAGTTACTACACCAGCTAAGTATTTGAGATTGTCTGGTTTTGTTTAATCATTCAGAGCAATTTCCTCTAACATAGGAGATGCCAAAATTTGTTAAAATGCTTTTTTTTTTTTTCCCCCTCCTTTTCAAGCTAAAATTTTCCAGGCATTTTAACACCTTTAAGATTGGCTTGAGATTTCCACAGAAAACAACAAACAAAAAGCTTGAAATAATGACATCTACTTAAGAGAAAATGGAAGTGAAAAAACATGCTACAAGGCTTGCCAGCTATGAAGAGTGGACCATTGACATACTTACGTCCACACAGTCCTCAAGGCCCTGAAATTAATGCCACACGTGCACAGATACATCTCATGACAGAAGGTCTTTAGCACTGCTCAGAGTTTCAAAAACAAACTTTTCTTGTCTATTCATATAAATACACAACCCTTTTTTAATTTAAGCTTAAAACTGTGCGTTAGAAACACTTGAGTAGTTTAGATGAGTAAGTTGTAGTGCTCACTGCAGGAGATTCAGATCAGTGTGACGATGAATGTTCTAAACATCTCCAATACAGACAATGCCGTAGTGTATTCTTCTGACCCTTTGAAATCAAACCGCAGACTCCAAAACTTAGACAAAAACCATGCAATAAGCAAAATATAATTTTCCCCTTGCTTGAATCTCTAACAGTCTTTCCTGAAGTGTTTGTGAAATGATGTTCTCTCTATGAACTCAGAAGTCTACCCAATTCATTCCCTTGCTTAGAAATGTTTGTTCTGAGTGTTAGCTTGTGGCTTCCCTCCTGCACTGCACTGGCGCTTGAGGGGAACAATGAGTAACAGAGGCTGTTCTAACAGCCTCAGACCGTCTGCTTGCAATGTCAATAAGCTTAGTGTAGTTCTGTTTCCAAGAAATCAAATTACTTTGAAAAGAAAATAATTGTGTGAGATTTAAAATAGAAGAATAATTTGGGAGACCAGGTTTTTTTACATTTCTTTCACAGAAGTAGTCAAAATGAAAGGGGATGGTCTAGATGTGTTGAAGTTGATAGGAATTTTTGTTATTTGCCTTACTGAAGTTATGATTTCACATTAAATTTAGAGAATAATGGTTGTACACAGTTATACAAAACTATACAACTTTGTTTCAACTTAGCTATAATCCAGTTCAGTAATAATTTTGCCATGAACTTACATGGGAACAAAATTAAGGCACTGTTTCTTTGAGGTTCTCACTGAACGTATTAACTACAGTACATGTATATTATTATTAATCTATTTATTATTATAAGACATATTCCTAAAACTGCTCAAAACCACTCCACTAAATATCTGTATAGCATCAGCTCCTGTATAGCTGAATATATGTAATGTTAAATTTTACATTACCATTCTAAGCATTAATGTTGCAACCTGAAGTGGTCCCATCCAAATAATTTTCCCACCTCATTTCTATCAGATTATTTTAGTACTATCAGCAGAGGTTCTCAATGATACTAGGTATCGTTTGTAAAACACTGAAGGGTTAACCCCTCTGCTTTAATACTAGAGTTGTGCCACTAAACAAGAACAAAAATAGACCACAAGAAAAGAACGAAGACCATTCAAGACATGACCTTGAGGGCCTGGTACAGCAAAAGAGAGCTAATGCCAACTATTGTAACTGCAGCTAGCATTTGGGACATGGTAGTTGCCTAACGCTGGAAGAAGAATTTTAAGTGTTTGGTTATGCCTTAGGATGAAGTGGAAAAACTTCGCACAGAGTTTTTCATGCACCGAGAACTGTAGGACTGACAGCTACTGCATGTCCCTTACTCCTTGGTGCAGTTGTGTGATCTGTAGAAGACTCAGAGAGGCAGGTATGGCACAACTAATGCTTAGAAGAAAAACAAATGATCTGAATGGAATTTGAGGACAACACAAAATTAAGTCTTCCTAGTGAACTGCTGAATGATCTTCTGCTAATTCAGAAGGAATGTACTTGGAAAAATTGAGAAAACAAGTGTCATGGGTTCCTAGACTTCATCCAAATTTGGAAATCTAAGAAGTCTTAGAGGATGGAGACTATGTCCCACCTTCAATTATTTATAGAATCTCTAGACAAACTTCTCCTTAAGTGCCATGAGGCTATTTCACTGAAACCTCAGAGAAATGTTGATTTTGAGAACATTAAATTTTCCAAATTAACTGAAGTCAGAGACGGAGAAAAACGAAGTGATCAATTTCCTTTTAGAGCAAAGTTTCAGCCCAGAATTTGAGGCAGACTGTCTCTTGTTATAGCTACATATACATCTAAGTGTCAGTTGTTTGCTTGTTTGTATGAGCTTTACATACCCAAAGGTTCTCACAATTCAAGGCTTGGTTCATCTTTGCATTCACATTAGAAGTGGTGTCACATCACATCATTCCATTAACTGACATGGAGTATCCATAAATCTCAATATTAAAGAGCAAGAGAAAGAAGATGAAGAAGCAGGAGGGAACAGAAGAAAGTCCTGATATTTTCCTACCACAGGGCAGGCCCTGAAGAAACTAAGAAGAGAAGAGGGAAAAGGAAAAGGAGGAAGTAGAGGATTGGCTCACTTACCTCTAAAATCTCAACACCATTGCAAACCAATATTCAAAGGTCTGCAGAATACAGAGGAAAGATAAAGGAGGGAACAAGGCAGAACTCAAGAGGGTAGAATGTGACAGAAAACAAAGAAAAGGGGCAGAACAGCACTAGTTATGTGTGTCCTGAGGCTAGCTAGCAGGTTAGATAACTGAAAAAGAAACAGAAATGCACCATACCTTTTCTTTGTCACTGGCTTCTCGAGCCACAGTAGAGCCCTGAAACAGAAAAAATGGATCTAAAAATGTGCATATGTCAGAAACTAATTTGAAAATGTACTGATGCAATCACTTGAAGAAGATGTATCATGAGAGAAGAAAGATGGATCAAACGCTCTGCATCTGTTGTCCTCCTGACTGCTGGAGTTTCTTCCTCATGTCTCATCCTCATTTTGAGACTCATTCTGGAAGTTCAGTTTACTGGGCAGACTTCTCATCTTTTTCTGTCAGGTTAGCTGTATGGTTATGGAACAGCCTATTCTATGTAACTATTTGGACATATGCAATACACATTTGAAAAGGATGTCACACAATATAAACACATAAAAATATTTAAAAGATCACAAAGTACAGACAAGAACAAAGCACCTCACAGCAACATGAAGTCAAAAGAAGAGATGAGACCAGCTGTGGATTCACAAGATTTACAGTGCTTGCCAAAGACATTTTGGATATCTAATTTTTTTTTTTTAAATTTATTTTTTAGCTTAAAACTATTCAGCAATATGGTGCTTTTCTGAATAAGCTGGAGTTGACAAAAAAAGGCTGTATACATTTCCTTGCAAATTTCTTGGAGCAGGACCACAACTTTAAGCACTCAGTGTTTTTTTAATCACGTAAAAGCACTGCAAGAAATAATAACTATAAACATGAACATGAGGACTCCCAATCACATCTTTTTATACTATGTATTATTCTGTTTGCAGAGAGAAACTTAGAAACCTTAGAAAGGATGGAGAGAAAAGATAAATGGGACAGGATGCCTTAGTTATTATGTATGGCCCAGCAAACAGGGATTTCATTGCACTATATTATTAACTGATAATAAAGCCTGGTAGAAGCCTCACATTTTAGTTTATTGATGATACACCTTTTATGTTGTATTCTGTGCTCCAACAGCCTACTGAAAAAGGATGAGCTCAAAACCAAACCGGAGGAAAAAAAGTGGATTTGCAATAGTAAAAATTGGGGAGAGTGCCAAATTTGACATTGAAGTAATTTTAATAAAATGCCTCAGTGGCCAGGAAAATACCTTTGAAATCTTAATGCTGATCTGTGGTTTCTTTTGCTTAGTACCTACACTGGTATAGACTTGTGCTATAAGTGAGCTCTAAGCTGGTGTCAAAAATAGTTATGTACGAAAGACTCTGAACCTACAACCACAGATGCTGTAGCAACGAAAATCAAGAAAAAGTTATTTATAATATATGCAGTGTCACTATAGATCTGCTCAGTGAAGGAGTATGTTTTGAAGAATAATATGATATTGAAGTTAAATTTAAATTACAAGAGAAATTTATCGTTAAAGCAATTCTGTCCAGCTGGGCAAACTAAATAGAGTACAGAAGCATTCTTGGAGGTAAACAGTAGTGAGAGCTGTTGACACCAATGCTAAGAACATACTGTATAGAATTTATGTTTCTTTCTGCTGTGCTTTCATCCCTTTTTTAATGCATCTGGACATTAAGATGCTCTAAAACACATACAGTTCTCTCAAATTAAAAAAATGTCTTTCTTGGGGAAGCTCTGCTGCCAATAATACTAAATACCAAAAAGTCAATTGTCGACAATCTGGAAATCAGTTCTTATAAATCAGGTTCAGTTAACTATCTAACCAATTTCTAGGTAGACACTTGACAGCAGGAAAAGATGGTGCAGATGCAGCATTACAAATCTCTAAATACAGAATGCTAAATAAACATAGAATCATAGAATGGTTTGGGTTGTAAGGGACCTTTAAAGGTCACCTAGTCCAACCTCCCTGCAGTGAGCAGGGACATCTTCAAATAGATCAGATTGTGCAGAGCCCCGTCCAACCTGACCTTGAATGTTTCCAGGGATGGAGCTCTTAAAACAAGTTTGCAGATGCACTTAGTAGTTCAACACACAGAAATTAAATGTATTAGAAAGAAGTAGGTTTATAAGGGAAGACTACATGAAGGAAATTAAAATACAATCCCTTAGGGTAGAAAGACTAAGACTATATTTTGAGCATTTGATGTAAGCACTGTCTGTTAACTACTGACAAAATTATAATGAGCAGATAAACCTTCTGAAACAAAACTATAACGCACCTTATGACAAAAGCAACAGAAATTTTGTTTTTATAAGAACATTCTCTTTTTCACTTGAATTTTTTTTTAAATCTAGAATGAAATATGAAGCTTTTGTAGTAGTGATGTACTTTGTTAGTAGCATTTTATTGGTTTAAATGATGATGATATTTAGTTATTTCACAAAAGCCCCCTGCAGAACCAGCTGTGGCTTTCCATGTTGATAAGACATATAGGAAGTAGAATCATAATTGTACTTGTGTGAAGGGTTTTACCTTTAATCATTAGTTACATTTAACAAACATACCTGCTTAAATTGCTCCATTTAAAACCTGTACAATATAAATAAATTTGCACAATTTCTGTAAAACCCTTCTTCAGTTTTGCTAAACCTAGATGCAGCCAGTTAATGCTGGCTGTTACATAACAGAATTTTAAATTAATTTAAAATCTGAGCAATATTCAAGCATCAACATAATCTAACATTTATAGTAAAGAATTTCAGCTTTGTTAGTTATTTAATCAGCAGTTATTTCTCACCTTTAAATCATATTTTCTATAAACAGATAAACGATGGCTGAACACGTTTCTTGTAACAATCATATATACTTCAACTCCATCAACAGTAAGTCGGTACATGCCCAAAAACTGGGGAAGAAGTGTATTCCCATGACACTCCACAATAAACTGCAGGAGCAAAAGAAAAAGCAGAAATGAGGACGGATATATATTATATAAACACATAATATTTTTGCATTTTTAAAGATAAAACACCTAGAAACAACATATCTATTTACTGAGTATGTATTTGTGTGGAGACAAACCTTCCAAAAATCATACCAAAACAAATCCCTTCATCAGGAGGTTATCCTGCTTTTAGGCCAGTGTTTAAAAAATAAAATCTTAAACTGTTTAACTTATAACTCTTGACTTCTATAGATGATCTCATAGAAAGAGCAGTCTCTATTTGACAGACCTTTCCATTTTATGGTCCAAAAAGCACATCTAATGCAGATAACATATTTAGTACTGATCTCACAAATCAGAATTTTTTTCAAACATCACACTGCTGTAACTTTGTACTCTGTTGTCCTAGATAGTACTTAATTTGTATGTTTCTCTGTTCTCAATATTTGTTTACTATGATGAACATTTATGGTGCTGTCACCAGCAAGGGGCATTATTTATTATCACCAGCTTTCTGCTAGTTCCCACGTGATAGTTGCATTTTAGGGTTAATAGACTTGAGCAGTGATGTGCAAGATCCCTGCATTTTTTTATTTACAAATCATTTTATTTCCTTAAGGTCACCATATTCCATTATAAATGGGCTATTATCCTTGAAAAGTTTGCCACCTGCACCTGAAACCTGACTTTTGGGGTTTTTAAAAATCATTTCCCTTACAACTAATAGTTCAAATTTCTACTGGAAAGACTACTGGAGGGAGCAGAAAAAGTACAGACTACACTGATTACAAGAACTATTGAAGAATGAGTATTCTCAGGATAAAAAATGTCCATACTTTATTAATCCTAAAACCAACTCAAACACATCCACTCATAGTTTGTGGAACCGCAGAAAAGTCAAGCCACAATGATGCAAACCAGAAAAAGACTCACCAGCTTTCCTCTTTCTGTTTTTATCAAGTCTCAAGCAGAGGAACTTGGAGAAAAGTTAAAAATTCAAGCCCTACATAGGAAACATGAAAACTAGCCAACAGTCAGCTTTCAAAGCAGTTTGGCTTTTAAATATTCATTGAATACTGAAGCCACTGTTTCTTTTGTGCCAGAGTGACCAGGTTATTAGAAACACATTACTCTACAATACAGGAGATTTTAGAACAAGTTAACTGTATCAGCCATTTGAATTGTTTAACATAGGTAGTTAGTATTTGGCAAAAAATAATATAGCAAAGCTCTTGGAACCCTGGAGATTTCGTAATTTTGGGTTTCTCTGCTAATTTTTAGGAATTTCTCTCACTAAGTTAATACTGGAATCTGCACATATTATACACAGACTTTCTATTTTTAAAAGGCAAAATAAAAAAATAGCTTTTTAGAAAGATCTAAGAGTCCTGAAAACAATCCTGTCCAGCAAGAAACGAAGTGAATGAACAACAAAGAGGGAAACTGCTGGCTGCGAATTGAGCATAATTTTGACTAATGACTCTTGACATGTGAGTTCTGTTGAATCTTCCTGGCACATTTTGGGCTGTACCACCCCTTTCTGTCTGCCCTGTTGCTGTACTGGAGGTTACAAGCCTGAAGCAGAGAACACATATTCATGCCGCACTTGTGCCACTTAAGAGTGTAGCATTTTAAGCTCAAACTGTCTACGAATGGGCAAAACACCTTAAACTGCTGCAGAGGCTCAGTGAATGCAAATCAGAACCTAAGGAAGGAAATATGTTTGCACACCTCAAAATACAAAGAAGTTTGACAGTAGAAGAGCACAAAAGCAATGTCAGTACTGAGCAGTGCACAAAGATTGATCAGTTTGCACCTGAGAACACTTCTGTGTTTAACAGATGCACAAGTTTCAAGTAGGAGTTATTGACTTAAAGGATTTTCAACTCTATGGCTGATATCAACCTCACAAAGCAGTTTTAACGTGTTACAGGATACATAGCTCATTCTGACCATCAGTCGTTTCTCTTAGAGAGCTGATCATAAAGTGAAATTAGAACTATTTGTGCTGAGGTTACAGAAAACTTGTTTAAAATACTAATCCCTGTTATTCAAACTACATTGATTATTTTGTTATAAACATCAAGTACTTGGCATATATTCTAAAGTTAAATACTTTTTTAATGCTTTACAGAAGGTGGGAAGGGTTGTTCTTATAAAAACATTTACTGAGTTATTCCTTCTCTGAGATGATTAGGTTCTGCAAGGATGATAAAAATGAACATAGAGTTTAATGCCACAGAATTTCAGGGCACTCAACTCTTTAATGGATCCAGCCAGTCCTAATCTCACAGCTTTTAACTACAGAATTTGAATTCCTGTCCATTAAAATAAATACTGTTATTCCAATTTTCCATATGAGGATCTGAGATGCAGAAGCTTTTATCTGAACTCACACAGAGTTTGTGCCACATGAAGGAATGGCAACCAGGCATCCTGAGTATCAGATAATAACCCCCTGCCCTTCCTCTCAGCTCTTAGGGCGTAGTCTTGACACCTAAACCATCTCTTCAACCCTAGCTATTGCTAACTGTCTGATTTTAGCCCTTTTGGTCCTGAGTGTCCCCATCTCTAACATCATTAACACAGAACTCGTGCAACATACCCACTGTAATAACATAAAATAAATCCTTTGGGTAGCGTAGACAACCCCCTCCCAAACTGTTCTGTATCACGAGACAAGGAAATAACGGCAATTAATGAGAGCTGCTTAAGTCCTATTGGTAAGTTAGGGTTAGCCATTTGCTAACGCTGTTGTTTCATTTTAATATTTTGCAAAGAAGCCCTCTGAAAGGGCAGTGTTGCCAGCATGCGACACAGGACATGAAAAGCTCTGCTGGTACCGCCCTTCACATGATAAAAGGGACTGTTGCGGCACACGGTTGTGTATCGCAACAGTGGTTTCCTACTTTCTGCTGACTGAGGCCACTCATACCATCGAATTTAAAGAAAAGCCCCTAACATGATTTCAGTGTTTCCCATGACAGCATTTCTTATCCTGATGGGGAGACAAAGGAAAGAGCGAGGAATGCCACTTGCTTTTAGCATCTACAAGGTTGGTCTAGAACTTCCTACCTTTGAAACTATCAATCCCCCATATCTGCATCACAGAGAAGGCAAAACGTGTCATCTGTTTGGGTGGGAGTCCAGCAGGACTTGCACTGGTGACTGTGGTTGGCAGATTTTCAATTTGTCCATCTTGATATAAATGAAGTAGCAATTTAGTCACCTCAGGGTGCTTTTTACGAATGATTTCCTGAAGTTTCCCACTCACAGCTGGAATAAAAGTGAGCCTAGAAAATAAGCCGGTACATGCTTAACAGGACTGCTAAATTTCAGTGAAAGAAAAGACCTTCACTCCTTTATTTTAATTCTTTCTAAAAAGAACATTAAAACAATGCTATCAAGCAGCCTGGCTAAATAAAACTGTAATACTTAGCTAATACATTTACAGGTCCTTATATGCAGTAACAAAGCCCATCTTTTTAAAAAAAGAGTGTTACAAAAAACACCCCATCATTTTTTGTTAATTCAATTTCATTTTCCTGCACAGTATGAGGATAATATTACCATTAACAAAATAAAGTATCATCAGCATGTTGACACATTATCAGCTGTGCAGCATAGTTTTCAAATACATAATTTTCTCTCTTGAACCCCATGCTTAAAACTGAAAATGAGTAAGAAATTCTTATGATCTTATATTCTCATTATTTTTTGTATAAATACAGCTTCAAGATTCCTTAATAAGAACAGAACTTTTCCTATCCCATTTTACATGAAAAATAAGATTCTTAGCTTCTTGCTTCCCCACAGTAATGCTAGTAAGGTATCAGGATGATTAAAAGATAACATAGTGCATATAATTTATTGGCAAAGAAGTTATGCCATTTTTGGCTCCTTTTAGAAAAATAAGGGATAAAACTCCTGTGTCTGCTATTTCTCCTCCACCCCTTGGAGATAATCTGTGGAATGATTTGACATCAGTGAAGACTAAATCCTGAATCATACCTATCTTGGTTCTATGTGAAAACTCAACATTCCGATATTCTCACAGGTAGCTCTATTTTGCAAACATCAATTCAGAAAAACACAACACGCTTATTCCCTGTTACCCCTTCGTATGTTATTTTCATGATTTTCTACATCGTGATTAAGGTAATCACTCTTAAATTATCAAATGCTTATGTGATAAGTCTATACATTCATTACGATGCTTTCATTAAAGAAATTGAATGGCAAGCACTATAGTTACTTAAAAACATTATGGACATTGTGAAGGCCAAGAGGTTGATAATCCTTTTTTGAGCTCAACTTTCTCTTTCAAATCCTCTTGCTTACAATAAGAAAAAAGCCTGCCCTAATGTGTTGTGTGCACATGCATCAGCACACAGAATCACTCCTCAAAAAGAAGGCTTAAAAATTGTCCAAAGGGTTATGTCAAGTTTCAGAATATTCAGATTATTGCCATTTTCCTGAACCCTAGTAATTTCACAGAAAAATATCCATTGGGTACTTACGTAACCCACTGAAAGGATTAATTAGCTGAATTACATCACACAACATAAAGTTGTAACATCATTAGATGTAGATTTTCAAAGCATATAAAGCTGTTTTCTTCTAGTAAGTGGAAGCATTCGATAAATATACAGATTTTAAGATACAAGCCCTGTGATTCACAGCCTTAAATCTCATGTTGCTTCATAGAATCACAGAATCATAGAATGGTTTCGGTTGGAAGGGACCTTAAAGATCATCTAGTTCCAACCCCCGACACCTTCCACTAGATCAGGTTGCTCAAAGCCTCATCCAACCTGGCCTTGAACACTTCCAGGGAGGGGGCATCCACAACTTCCTTGGGCAACCTGTTCCAGTGTCTGACCACCCTCACAGTGAAGAATTTATTCCTAACATCTAATCTAAACCTACCCTCCTCCAGTTTAAAGCCATTTCCCCTTGTTCTATCACTACCCGCCCTTGTAAAAAGTCCCTCCCCAGCT